AGCAACACGGCAAGCAGAGTGTAGCAACTGCCCGCCTGTCACCGGTCACCGCATCAAGAGTAGCAACGCGATTTTTGCGGGGGGGGGGGGGGTAAACGGTGTGTGTAGCAACACGGCAAGCGGAGTATAGCAACTGCTCGCTTGCCCCCCGTCACCGGAGGGAGAGTATAGCAACTCGATTTCTTCACCGACGGGGATTTTACACGGTGTGGATAGCAACACTGCAAGCGGAGTATTGCATCTGCTAGCTTGCGTCGGTCACGACAGGTACTGTAGAGTATAGCAACTCGATTCCTGCACCAAACGGAGTGTATAGCAACACTGCAAGCAGAGTATAGCAACTGCTAGCTTGGACCCAGCAGGTAGAGTACAGCAACTCAATTTCTGCACCGATGGGGGTTGTAAACGGTGTGTATAGCAACACGGCAAGCGGAGTATAGCAACTGCTTGCTTGCCCCCGTCACCGGAGGCAGAGTATAGCAACTCGATCTCTGCACCGATGGGATTGTAAACGGTGTGGATACCAACACAGGGGCGTTACCAATTCGGGAAGCAAAGGATCGCAACTTCTGCAGCAGTTTTTGCAGTCTGTTAGTGACTCTTCCTATCTAACGGCTTTTACGCCCTCTGATTGGTCCGGCGTTGGTTCCTAGCCTTGACCCTCTCCAGCGCCCTCTCGCCGTTCCGCATTCCGAGAACGCGGCTGCGCCGCGTTCTCGACCAGTTCGCGGCCGCTAGGCCGTGCTTTGGCCGTGGGTGAGGGTTAGGGTTAGGGTTAGGGTTAGGGTAGATGTGGGGTGAGGAACCTAGCCTTGCTCGCGTGAGGAACCTAGCCTTGCAAAGTGCAACATCGGTTAGTCCTAAAGAGTCACTAACAGAGTGTAAATAGACCTCAACTTCTGACTTGCACCCGTCGTATCGGACCGGGCACAGTAACCAAAGGTATAGCGACTGCAATTGCGCCTCGACAGCAGGTTGTAAGAGGGGTGTACTCTATAGCAACACGGGAGGCGGAGGATAGCGACTTGTGGCTGTTGAGGATAGCGACTTGTGGCTGTTGTCGAGGATGGAACCGGCAAGGCGAAAACAAACAAACAAACAAAC